TGAGGGGATGATGGCTGTTTGCCGCTGGTCACACACCCTTCAGGGTGGGGGTCCCCACTGGGTTGCCTGGCCAGCCTGGGTGAGGGGCTGAGGGCGGTTTTCAGGCTGGCGGGTGACTGAAGCTCCCAACCTCTCCTCTCCTTTTTTTATTTTTTTTTTTTATTCTGGGATTTATTTACCTTCTATGGCTGTCACTGGAGCTGAGAGCCGGCTTTAGCTCAGACCTCGGCTGCTGAAAGCAGGTTTCTGGACTTTGTTTACCTTCTTTATTTGAAACTTTGTTGCAACTCCAGCTCTGAGATCCCGGCTGACTGAAAGCAGGTTTCTGGGGTTTTGTTTAGGTTCTATATTTGTAACAATGTTTCTTAGAGAGCAGCTGAGAGGCCGGCAAGGCAGGCGGGGAACCTGGCTTCCTCCGTCACTGGAGCAAGCAAGCCTCCCTGTTTGCGTCAGCTGCCTGGCTGCCGGCCGCCATCTTGGTTGGCAGTTAATTTGCATATCTCACTGATTAGCCAATGGAAAGGGTAGCGAAGTTACAGCTAATTACCATGTTTCTCTTTTATTAGATAGGATATAGATTTGACATTGCTAAGCCTGTTGGCCAGTAGATGCATTTGTGCAGGATACAGTTAGACAGAAAAAGGGAGTGAGAAGTTCTGTAGAGTAAACAAAAGGGCATATGAAAAGGCATAGAAAAATTAAATGTTGATAAATCTTAAAGGAAAAAGAGTTTTCTTCATTTTTCTTTCATGTCTATCATGTGATAGGGCAGAATCTGTCAAGGAAGTCTGTACCAGTCTCAATTTTTACTCAGTCAGTTTAACTCCTATTCCTCCCTTGCATGGACACACAATTGGTCTTATTTTATTTGTTTGTTTGTTTGTTTCCACCTGGAGAGGCAATGAATCCAATAAGCTTATGGTTTCAGCACTATTTGTCACAATGCTTCTAGGGACGCTTACCTTTGAGAAAGGAAAGGTCATCTAAACTTTGTCTAGTCAATGTTTGTCTATTATTACTCTCTGTTCAGATGCATTGGTGCTCAAAGTATAAACCTACAATGATCTTAATTAAAAGAAAGAAGTGGGTTTTTCTTCATTTCTCTGCTTGAAAATTTAGTGCCTACATGATTTTAAGCACCTGGGTTGATTAGATTCATCAATGGTGTTGTAATACTTTGTGTAATAGTCAAGTGAAAGTAACATATACCTGACTATGCAGAAAATAAGAATAGCTCACTCTAAAAAGGACACTCTGTTAAATTTAGGCATACATAGAATAGACTGCTTTCTAACTTGATAAATTCCATGATATTATGGGTAGGATAGCCAAAGTTCATTGACATTAATAAGGGAAATTGATATAGATCTCCATTTTGAAAAGGTTATTTTGATTACAACTCTAGAAAATATATAGATTTATATTTCTATAACATATGGTTTAAACAAAAGAATTCCTATAGCAATCACCTTTATGGTCTTTAAAATTGTCTAGGTTGTACTATCTGTTCTCTCAAATATAAAATGAAGATATGGAGAACAAGTATGTTAGTCTTGAAATATTTTCTTGCTTGAAAGTTTTTACAAACTTAATGCCTATGAATTTTAATGAATATAAGTATGTAAAAACAAGATACTAAGTGGCATCCTCATCAGTATCAACATACACGGTGTTTTTACTTGATAACATGAATTGCTCTTTGAACATGGCTGGAGCTTAATGTCTAAATTTAGCCTTTCTACCCATCCCCAAAAGAAGTCAAAGAAAAACAGAGTTTTATCTGGGAAGACTCTTTAGCTGTTAGAGTTCTGCTGGGCATCAGAATAGAATTCTATGGCTGTGGAACCGCTGAGGTCTTTAAAGACTGCAGACAATTACAGTGAGTCCCAGGGCTGGGACACCATCCTCACGTGAGAGGTCTTATATTGGAGCACTGGCCATGGCTTGACTTGAGTCTGTTTGAAGACCTACACTAGGTGTCTGTGTGGCTCTTCCTTTGTTCTACTTATGTTTTTATTTTTGAGCTTTAATGAAGTAAATGAAATATAAATTTTCAGAGTGAAAAGTTCAGAAAATGTATTAAAATAATTCAAATAAAACATTTTCTGGAGAACCTTCCCTTTCCCTCCTTCAACTCCAATATCCTTAGCCCCTTGAGCTTACTCCATAGAGGACAAATGGGTCTTCTTGCCAAACTCATTTGAACTCATTGTCAGAAACAGAATATTGGCCTGTATGACTAGGGGTTTTACTCATAGTGTGTTTTTCCTCATACACATAT